TGGGATTTTTTTTTTTTTTTTTCTAGTTTGTTTTTCATGTCAGGGTCTGCTCGCATTGAGAGCATTCACTGCACGTACAAAGAAATAGGTCTTGGCTTTTACTCTGCGCCTGGCTTCAGCTTGCTCTGTGAAGGCGGCCAAGGGCAGAGAGGGCCCTTCACAGTCTCTGCGGGGGACCTGGCGGAGGGGAAGATGCCAGAATCCTAGACCCCTCGGCATAAATGGTTCCAAGATCTGAATGCATTCTTTCCTAACAATTGAATGAATGGGTTTGTTCTCCCCACTTCTTTCTAGTTAGCTAACCTTGTGTTGTGTTGGTCTGCTCAATAGCATTCTTCAGCGAAGATGTTTGGAGATAGAATGTGAATTTGGCCCAGTGAGCTGCATATGGGAATGACATGTAGGGTCCGAATTCACAAACGCTGGCAGTTCTCAGGGTTGGGGCCTGTGGCTGAAATATCTAGAGATGTTCACCAGGAGGCGTGTTTCCGTTTGGCTAAGAATAAAAACACGATTTTTATGTGTTTTCTATAAGCACTCACTGAAGTTCGCCCCGATGCTTGGGCTAGCTTGATTAGCATTCTTTTCTGAACATTCCAGATTGCCTGTCTTTATCATCGTTTTCTGTAATGAGACACAATAAAGCTCAAGCTTTTATCTAAATACTAAGTTTTGTAAGTGAAAATGAGAATAGGGACAAAAATCATCTTTCTTAATTGTAACTTTGGAAAATGGTAGTCTCCTGTAATTTTTTTTTCCCAAGTAATTTGAAAGGTTTTGCTTAAACCCAGGATGGTAAATTGAATTAAAGATTTATTATATTTTCAAACAATGTGCTCGGATTCAAACAATCCTGGCCATGGAGCTTATGTGCCTTTATTTTAAATGTTACTTACGTCGTGGGGGAACGATACGTTGAGCGTCCTATAGATGCGTGGGGGGTTTCATTTTTTTGGCGTGATGTGAAAATTTATAAGCATCAGTTAAGTATTTTTTTCTTTTCAGCTGTGTTTACACGTTCTGATTTTAACATCCTGATTTCTTCACCTGGATTACTTTTTCTCTATATTAAAATGATAGGTGTTGACTAGAAAATTTACAAAATACCACAAAGCGTGGAGAAGATCATCATCATCTGTGATATGCAAATAGGAAAAAAAAACTACTTTTAACATTTTAGTTGATTCCTTCTGACATTTTATCCATCCATGCAAGTATATATTTATATAAATCTAGGGCATCCTTTATGGAAAGTTTGTATCCTGCTTGATATTATCTCACTTATGGGTGCTTTGAAACCATAAAAAATAAGGCTCCTAAATGTATCTTCTCAAATGTAAAATGTTCATGCTACGTTATTAAATAAGAAAGCAGTACATGTTTTTATCTTAATATAGTATGCTTGATTTGCATCTTTCCCGATTCTTTATTGTTACAATGTATGCCCCAGTCCTTGTGCTATTTTTGCTTATTTGTATTTTCGGATTGTTCTATAGCGGGGCATGTGTTACTTAGTTGACTTGATTGGTTGTGAATTGAATCGATCCAATGAGAATCATCCCTATACGTGGATCTTTGTGAACGGCTTTATTATTTTCTTTGGAATTTTTTTAGAATAACCTCCTAGGAGTGGAATAATTGGGGCAAGGCAGTGAGTTGTGTATTTGTTGTGCAGTTTCTAGTCTAATTATATATGTTCTATGGAAAGACGTTTTGTGGGTTTTTTTTTTTTTTTTTTGCAAAGTAAGGAATGTCTATTCTGCCATTTTTGCCCTCGTGTCCTTCCCTCCCATGCTTTGTCACCAGCTCTTTTCCTGATCTCCCGTGCCAGTCACATCTCCCTGTAAGTCACCTGTGCCCTTCCCCCTCTTCTCTCTACCCTGCCTGTCAGATCCACCTGCTCAGGACAGCTTTGTCCCAGAGCTGGCTCCTGGCTCCCCACCTCTGCCCTTGTGCCCTCGGCACTGACCCCTGCCCACAGCCCGTCTTCGCCTTTCCAGAGACCTGGGAACTGTTTTCTCTCTAGCCCCACGTGCTGTGCCAAACAGCAGAGGTTGCAAAGAAATCACCTGCTCGTTTAGAATTTTCCAGAATCAAAACAGCAGATCCAATTCTGAAATGGAGATTTTTGTCAGTTTCTATAGTTTCTGCGAACTGAGTAGCTCGAAAAAATTAACACAAAAAGTTGTTCCTGAATTTTCAAGTGTTACAGTCCTTATTTTTAGAAGCTGTTTAGGATAATTTTATTACTAGAGATTTAGAGCCCCAAATTAGAAAGCTCATAAGCGATGGTTCAAGTATTTTCCTTATAAAAATAACAAACCGTCGTTATTACAACATCACCTTTTATGGCAGAAAATCCAACTGTGCTGGCTAGCAGGGAGAAACCTCTATGCCAGCAGCCACGTTGGCTGAGATTACCGTTGCCTCAAACGCTATGGCTGTGAACCAAGAGAGTCCACTCTTCCTGAAGCATTGGAGACGAACAGAATTCATTTGTGAAGAATATTCCAACCAGATGTCTGGGAATTTGGTAACTGCAGTTACAGAAAAAGACAGAAGGCAGGCAGGCGGGCACGTTTTCTTTTATGTGTTGCAACAGTGGGTATTAACGATTTTGGACATTCAGGAGAAGAGAAGGGCCCGCATGTGCTACAGGCCAGGCTCTATGCTAGAAGCCTGGAGACCTAAGAGAACCTTACTGATCAGCGTCTCTTAATCAACTCAGGGGAAGAGTGTGCAGACATATGGCCGCAGCAAAGGCGATATGAAGGAAGGGCTTTGGGAGTGATTTGAAGCAAGGGCCTTCACATTCAATTCAGGGAGGGTTATTTCCAACGGTGGTGACACACGAAGATATTTGGGAAAGGAAGTGGCTTTTGAGCCGAGCCTTAGATGAACTGACATGGTCTGCAGAGATGTGGTTCAAGTGTGCTATAGGTAAAGGGAATGCAAAAAGCTAGAGGGAATAGATTGCACTGGGCGTGTTTGGCGAAAGCGAGCAGCCCCCTCTGACCGTAATGGAGAGTTCAAATGAGAAAGCAGTGAGGGAACCCCCGAGAATGGTAGACCGATCAAACCCATGGCACGTGGACTCTGACACTCAGTCTGGAGGCTAGTATTTCTCCAAGTTTTTACCTCAGCATTGTGTTGGGTGTTAAATGCAGGCTCCTGGGCCACACTTGCATCCCCTGCATTTGATAAAATCTGCATTAAAAAAATTTTTTTAATGTTATTTATTTCTGGGGGGGGGGGCGGCAGGGGAAGGAGCAGAGG